TTCCCTAGTCTTATTTCAGTCTCTCTCTTGCTCCGTAAAATCCGTCTGCTCTACCCCTTGTTTACCTATTGCACTTGACTCCTGTCACAACATCTGTCCTACTCGAAGCGATATTTGCCCTCACCTGCGTCTGGGTGACTAATTAGAGGCTCAAGCCTCTGAGTGCCATCATCACCCCTTTTCTATATGAACCACGTCTCTGGTACAACTGAACTACCGTCAGCCAACTAGCTACGGTTCCTATCATGTCTATCCTGTTTCTATCCCAAATACCAAGTCTATGACTTGCTATGCCATAGTCTTTTATTGGTTGATTTAGATTACAAAAGCGGCTATCAACACGACTTAATTAAAAGTAAGATAATGCTGAAGTTTAATAAAATTAATTAAAACACATGCCTGAATGTGAAAATATATATAGGTCCAACGAAGTAAGCTAAATGAGTTTGAGGCTTTTATCTACTTACAAAATGACTGCAATCACAAAGATTATTTACTGAAAAAAAATTTAATAATTATAATTATTATCATTATAGAAAACTATTCAAGTGTGCATTATGACAGTATTTTTCTGTTATTTATAAACCACATCTCTACTAAATGCATTCTAGATATATTTCCTATGTTTACATCCTTATTGAACCCAATCCAAAAACACAAAAAATCCCTTTGCTAATTAATGTGAGAACAAGAGTAACTAGACGAAGATGTTTTGTCAAGAACATTTGGAGTTGCACTAATGACTGGGTTTTCTTCTTAATATGCTATAGTTGTCATTATCATATTACACGAACCAGTCCTTGAAAATCCCTTAATGAAATACTGACTGATGTGGAATTCTTAAATTTGCTAGATATTGTTGATGGGTTAGTAAAGACTACTGATAAAATGATTTGGTGGATACATGATACGTAGCTCTGGAATTCTAATAGGATCAAGAAATTTTGTGTATAATTTAATTTATAGAAACCATGCTTTTAGTAAACTGGGGAAGGATATGTTAGTCAATTTATGCAGCATAACCCGGAAGGATAGAGCGCAACTTTTATTGGAAAGATGATTGAGTTTTGTTGATCAAAATAAGGTTAACTATCCTCTGGATATACGTGTTGAATTTATAAGCATGTTTAAAAGATTTCCTGAAAAGGTGATATCTTATTGCTGTCAGATAATCCAGTCAAATTAATCTCGTTTTCCCATAAGGTTTTTATCTAATTTAGTGAAAATAATTATATTGGTATAAAAGCCTACAAAGTTAAGCAGTATTAATCATGCTTGGGTTAAGTAATATAGAAAAAATGCTA